GGTGGTGGTGGTGGTGGAGGTGGTGGTGGTGGAGGTGGTGTGATGATGTTAATGATGATGGTGATGGTGATCGTAGTGAGCCAGCCGCAGAAGAAGTGCAGGAAAAGGAAGACAACGGTGTGTGTAGCATTCGCTCCGTCTGTGTGTGATTGTGTGCGCGCGTGAGTGTTTTCATGTAGATGTCCGGTGACAATAGCTGTTGCTAATTTGATAACTTCTACTACGACACTTTACTATACGTCAACCTGATTTGGAACTCACCAAGTAAACGACCCTCACAAAGAAGCGCCAGCGAAACCAACCACAGCGGCCGCAGCAACCAGAGATAACGACTGCCCTGGCGGGGACGTCCTGGCTGCGCTCTGTCGACGACAACGACAGTCAGAAGATAAAAAATCAATAAGGACGGCTATTCGGCAACGCTAAATGGTATAAAAAAGGATCCCGATGCCTGACAAACGCTCAAACTTGGGCTTCGCGATGTCACTGACACGAAGACACGAGTACGTCTGGCGATTATCTACGTGAATAGTTTGATTACGTTAGCTCAAACGGCGTGCCCAATCGCGGACCGGAGAGTCGTGCAGATTCAGCTTAGCCATCCATAACAGAAGCTAAGAACAATACGCAAAACAAGTAATATGGCTTAATCGAGTTACCAATCCATCAACGAATCGATTTGGCTGGAACAGCTATACATCGATTGATTTTGAGTCCATAGTGAGCCGACGATACAAATAATCTTTCTGATGATTCTTGAATTGGAAAACGAGCCGCCGACAAGACTTTTGGGATCCTGATGCAGCCAGGAATTGAGGCCGTGAGTCGAGTCCGCTAGCAGTTGCAGGAAGAGCAAACAAAGACAAGGACGCGTCACACACCGGCGCACGGCATGAACACGTCCTCTGTCGCTGAATTTCAAACTGCCAGTCGCTGAGTTACAACGTCAGCGACCTCACTAGGCTCACGGACCATAAGCTTTGAAAACTTCTCCGCCGTGTGGTAGCCGTGGTGGAACGGCGAACGCTAAACGCCGCTAGAATTACCATCGTCATCGAGGACGACGAAGTTTATTCGGTTGTCGCCTGCAAGCCTAGCGGCTGCCGCCATCGCTATTTTTGGTGCTGCGCAAATCCCTGTTGAACCCCTTGTTCTTCCGGGGATCATGTTATTCCTGATAGGCACTCAGCTGAGCAGGAGTCGGCCACCGTCTACCAGGCCAAGCCCGCAAAGTCGAACTGGCAACAGCAGCGCTGACTGGGCCGATTCGCGGCGTCTCTTCGTCTATTCCAGCCTTCTCCTTCTCTTCGTCACGAGATGCGCGGCTCTCCCGCCCGTCATCAATGTCGGTAAGTGTTACCCAAAGTTTTTTCAAATACCTATATCCGACTAACATAACTGTTCCCAATATACTCGCCTTCTTATCTACCTACCGCCTTAAACATATATATACACATAGAAACACACAGATACAGAAACGTCCAAGTACACACGTAGCCTATACATAGATGCGACACTCAAGCAAAACTATCTGTCTCTGGCTTTATCTAGACCGATTCCTGGCGTTTGCTTCTAGCGGCTGTCGACTCGCGACCCTCAGTCGCTATCACCAGCTTCCATCATTAGATAAAACGAACGAACGGAAGAGATTGAGCGGGTTTTTATGAAAACCCAGGGTCTTTTTTCCTAACGGATGTTGTTTCACGTATAGGAAACGCACACAAAGGTATGAAAAGTCCTGCTAAGATACTGCTAGTAGTGAACGAAACACTGAGCGATGAGCGTGTCCCCATCATGGTTCCGGAACTGACATGTCTGCCTACTAAACCTAAGACCATGTGCGGGAATGATCTACAACGTTGGGTGTGAGGAGGGCATTAACGCAATGCTTTTGATAACGCTAAGTTACACTAAATAAAGATGGCAATTTTGCCAGTTCGGTGTATGTACGTACTTGCTGTCAATTTGCTCAGCATGTCATATAAAAAACGAAAGATAGACATTGAATAGGTGTTTTCTTATCGGAAACACACATCGTACAAAAACCTAGCACACCAACTTTCCTTTGAAAACATAAGTGCTGATCTGATCTAAACGTTGGGTATTTTAGTTGTACATATTAGTCTGACAGAGGACATAAACGAATTTTCTCGAATAATCAAAAAACAAGCCTTCCTTGTTTTGACTTTCTACATTGAGGAAAACGCTTATCCTATCATGCATTTGCTGATTAAAAGGTTTGAATAGCTACTGCAGTGCTCGATAATATCAATAGGGCTAGTAATATTCGCTACTTTTGGGCGAGTCCTAGTCCCAGAATCGCATACCTTCAGAACAAGCCGCTTGAAATGCCTGCGAGCTCTAAGCCAAGGTACGAGTTTTAAAAGTGCTCGAATTCGACCCCCAAACATGTCTAACAATTAACTAATCCACTATAGAAAAACAATCACAACCGAGATTTTTCGAAATTGATCTTTGATTCTTGAACTTGAATTGTCTAATCTTCAATGCATAAAAGAAACTAACAGCGCCTTTGTCTCGCGTTCGAACGTTGTATAGAAAGAATAATTTATAAAGTGGCACCGAAATGCTCAGACTTTACTTTGCACTGGTAAAATATATATTAATATATTATTTATTTATATATATACATTAATAGATGTACGTATGTCTATATGTATACCATATTATTACTGGTGCACATTTCTGCTAGTATATATCCAAATTGATATTGATGAGTATAACCAATCGTGCTAGAAACATGAAACTGATACTTTTCCATTAGTTTTCGCGTATCACAAAAGCGTTAATCAATCCATTAAAGCAAACGGTTTCCTAACAGAAACTAGCTCAAGCAAATTTCCGACATTCGAGAGTTATCGAAAAGCTTGAGCATCAAGGGGCATGCACTGGGCTAGACGGAGCGGCACCTCCTTCTTGAATCACATACCTATTTTGTATATAAAGGTCGATCTCTGTCTCAGCACTTCCTTAATCTGTCGGACCACATCCATAACACACGCACGCTTAGTAAACATCTAGATGTATTGGCCGATCTGCCATGACAGCCTATTTAAGCTGATGACCAGAACCATAAAGTGTCTTGTGTCTCTGCCTCAGGTTCTGTTTTACGAACAGGGATCTGCGTATTGATGTGCGCGTGTTAGAGATATTTTTACATATTTATACATATTTCTTGATTATATAAACATGAACACATAACCCGTTCATCGAGTCAGTATCATTGGAAGGGCTACTGGGCAGACAGGTTAACGACCACATCTTTTCAACGACTTTCTTGCGTTCCCTTTTTTTTTCGGGTTCGATCGACATTGGTTATACAGCCGCGGGCAGTGCCCTCTTTCTCGCTAACCGATATTCTACTGCACAATCTTGCACTGAGCCGACCACTGCAGCTTTTTCGTCTTCTCTCCTGTCTTCGGACCGTAAAAACGGGACTTTTAACCTCGCAATTTTTATCGAGGCCATATCCCGGCTATAAACCCATACGATGGTCTGGCCGTCACCTAGTAGCCGCTACGAGGGAAGCGGACAGCGCGCTTACCGCCGCTCCGTTCCTCCGATCTTTGTCTTGTTTTCTTTGTATGTGGGCAGTTCTTGGTCCTTCTCCTAACCCAATCTGGCTTCCTTTTAGATTACCAGTATTATGCTTCTAGCAGCCTCACAAAAGCTTCCGCACGGATCGGTTCATCCCACTCAGCCAACCTGTTTCTTGTAGCGAAGCTTTTCCACGCGGCTTCTGGGCCTCGAGTCTCAGGGATGTCGGATTTCTGGCTGTTTTAGCGGCCGTCATTTGCGTTGTCGTTGTCAGTTGAGTCGTGCGTAAGACAATCTTCGAAAAGCCGTTCCCGATTACGCCGTTCTCCTCTTCCTAGCTACTACTACCATTCAGTTGTTCGACTTTCTGCGAAACTCTCTGTTTGCGCACCTTATGTCCTTGCTGGTGCCGCCGTCGCCGCTGCCGTTGCTTCGGCTAGCGCACGCAGAAAAAATCGCTACTATTTTTTTCATCTATATGATACTCCTTTTATTTCTTTTTTTCTGTCTCACCTTCCTCTCACTCACTTTTGATTCATATCAGCGGGTCTAGCGCATTAGAAATATAGGAGCAGTAGTATTCCACTAGTTGCCTTCGCTATTGCTGTTCATCGTTCGTCGTTCACTTATCCTCAATTTTTCTCCGTACCGTCATGTCCTTCTATGTCATCCAGTTGCAGCAATCCGCTTCTCTGCCTTTCCTAAGTCGGTATCCCACCTGCGCTAGTTGGTTCCCACGCTTTTTCTATCTCGGCTGCCGCAGTTTCCGCCACCATTTTAGTACAGGCCGGCCTGCACGTACACATGTCTGCTTATCTTTCTGTATTTTCGGTCTATAGTCGTAGCTTTGTGACATGCACGCACGTTTCAGCTCCGTAGGTCCCGCACACCTAGTCGTCTGTCCGCCAGCAGCAGCAGCAGCACCGACATGTTTTTTCCCTGCGGCCTTTACCTTACCTAACCTTATGCTCGGCCTTATGTCCTTTCGTGCCTTAGACGTTCCTCTCGGCAGACACGCACAGACACGTCTGTAGAGACAAACTAGCCATGCTTGCGTTTGTCGTAGGTTGCACCATTTACGGTTCCACCTGGTACGGCTGGAAACATCTGTTAACAATCCGGCGGCTGTTGCTTAGAAAAGCCGTTCTTTCATTGGTGTGGCCTCTCGGAATCGTACCAGCATGGCATCTATTTATGTGGACCAAAGTCTTGTAAGCTTCTTTTTTTTTTAAACCCACTTTATTCCTCACAATACAATCGTGAGAACTATGCGCAAACATGCTTGGTGGGTCGCCAAGCGACTTCAGTCGAGTACACCCTTACATGCGATGTACTAACAACTATCGCGGATAGCGGCTACGATCAAATAGCGACAAGCAGGATCGTGTGTTGGTATCCTGATATTGCATTGCGCAGCAGTAATTGTGTTAACGCTGAGACTAGGCGAGGCATGGAGAACTTTAAAGGAGTCCGACCGTTAAACGAGGTCAGACTGGATCTGTTTCCGTCTGATGCTAGTCCTTCGCACCGAACGTTTTTCTGCTCAAGGAAAAAAACGACAAGCAAAGCAAAGCGACATCTACAAGCCATTTTCATCGGATACCGATCATCCTGCCGCTGCCACTTTTCTGATAGTGACGCCATGCATAGCGTCTGTTGTTGGCTGACAATTATAAATGAGGGACGTAACACTGGGCCGCCACTGCTGCCTGTCCCTTGTATTGCCACCGCTCGCGATGTCTGGTCGCTTCCTTCACGCAGAAGCTAACGTTTCGAGCAGCAGCCGCAGCAGCTGCGAAGAGCACCGCCATGGCAGGAAAGGCGACCGTCGACACTGACCTGTTGGTTATTCGTACCTGTGGCATTACATAACCAGGCTTCAGGACTTTTTGTTTGTTCAGGGTTTTTTGTTGATAGAAAACAAGCGTCTAGGGGGACAACGGACCTTGAATAAAGAAGGGTTAGGGGGGCAGTGCTTCATATACGAGTCGCTCGTTTGCTGTCCACCTTTTTAAAATGACGCGCAACCCCCGTGGGTGCGCCGTTGGTCTGCAGCCTCTCAGCTCACTGTTTCTATGTGGAGCTTTGGTAGGCAGCTAATGCTGTTTATGTACCGCCACATCGATCGTAATACGTCCAAAGTGAAAAACGGATACTGAAAGTCTATTAGATATTATTATTCATGTTTGTTTTTGTTTCTTATAATATTTGTACTTATGTGCGATCCAGGATGATGACTCTGAGAAAAGTTAGAAACCATTTTGTATTTGTTTATGTTTTTGGAAACTAAAATATTTACTTGAGCAACTTTATTGCCTTACGAATTAAGCGGATTAGAGGTGGTCGACTTCTACTAAAATCCATTACTAATATGTACTTGATGAGCAGGCTCCACAACATCATGTATCTAAATAATAGTCAGACATTTATAAGACTGTCGCCAATTTCCTATTGTAGAATTCTGATAACTATCGGTATTGCGACGTCAAAATGCTGAGCCAAACTAAGATAAAATGGTAATCTCACCGAGTGATATCGGCATTAAGACAGGCAGCTCATTCAATCATCAACGTACGTGTATACATTGATCGTAAGACATACAATGAGGCGACGACAATGGTTGCACGGGCGTCAGAAAGCCGGGTCAGACCGGGCTAGTTATATATTATCCAATGGCTTTTCCATGGGACGGAATTGGGAAAGCAGACAAATGTTTTGACTTCGCTGTGTAACACGAATTTATTTTTTTATCTTTCTCACGTTTTTTTTTCCTTATTGCCTACTTTATTCC